GCTGGGAACATCCCCAGAAAATTTCAGCCCCCGGGCTTTTCTGGTTCCTGAGTTAGCCATTTTCGCGCCAAAAACTTTCACAGGGCCGTACTTGAAAACCATTCGCACTGAGGGGCTGAATTTGATAACTTTAAGTTGTATATGTGCTGGGAACATTGCCTGAAAGTTCCAGCCTCCCAGCTTTCATGGTTCCTGAGTTAGCCATTTTCGCGCCAAAAAACTTCACGGGGCCGTGCATGAGAACCACACACAGTTAGGAGCTGAATTTGGTAATTTTAAGTTGTACATGTGCTAGGAACATTCGCTGAAAATTTCAGCCTCCCAGCTTTCCTGGTTCCAGAGTTAGACATTTCCGCGCCAAAAAATTTCACGGGGCCGTGCGTGAGTACCACACACAGTTAGGAGCTGAATTTGGTAATTTTAAGTTGCACATGTGCGGGAACATTCCCTGAAGATTTCAGCTTCCCAGCTTTCCTGGTTCTCGAGTTAGCGATTTTCGCGCCAGGAACCCTCACGGGACCATACATGGGAACCACGCGTGCCTGGGGGCTGAATTTGAAATGTTTGAGTTTTATGGAGACGATGGTCATAACCTCAAAGTTTCAGCTTTCTAGCTTTTCTGGTTCCCAAGTTAGCGGTTCTCCCGCCAAAACTTTCATCCCCTCGTACGCGGGGCCCAGACTTGCGTGGGGGTTGATACCGCGGTCCTGGGGTGGCACTTGGCCGGGGAACCCACCAGCAAAACTTTGGCGCCGGGGCTTGCTTGGGTGCCGTGTTGAAATGTCCGGACAGACGCACACACACACGCACACACACACGCACACACACACACACACGCACCGGGGTCGTCACAATATGCGTTTTTGCATTTGCATATAAGCAAAAACGCATAAAAATGCATATTCTGACGGCCCATGATGTGTGTATATTTGTATGTATGTGTGTTTATCTGTGTGCGTGTGTGTGTATGCTTGTATGTAGTGTGCGTATGTGTATGCGTTTATCCGAGTATTTCAACTCAACAGTCAAGCAAGTTTTGATGGTTTTTGCCAGTGGATTCCCTGACCAAATGCCACTCCAAAAACGCTGCACCAACTTCACGCGCGTCTTAGCCCGCATGGAGATGCGAGCAAATCTTGATTGGAAAATTGCCAACTCGGGAATCAGAAAAGCCGAATAGCTGAGATTTTAAAGGGATGTTCCCTGTCCACATGCAAACTAAAGATTTTTAACTCATTCCCTAGGTATGTGCGGTTCTCACGTATGAGCACGTGAAGGCCCTGGTGAGAAAATTACTAACACGGGAAAAGGAAAGCTGGAATTTTGAAGTAGTTCCCTATCCACATAAAACTTAAAGATTTCAAATTCAGCCCCTGGATACGCGTGTTTCTCAAATACGGGCGCGTGACAGTTTTTGCAGGAAGTTCGCTAACTTGGGAATCAGGAAAGCTGGAGAGTTGAAATTAAACGGGGTGTTCTCTTTCCAGATATAACTTAAGAATTTCAAATTCACTTGCGATTTTTCCTTGTTTGGAAAGAGGAGGGGCTGGAAGCTGGGAGTAGGTGGGGCGTGTTTGGGAAGTAATGGGAGGGGAGATGGAAGGAGCACCCTTCTGATTTTTTTATGCTCAGCATGGAATCTAGCGCTGAGAGGCAGTTAGTCGTTCAATGTTCACCCGTTTTATGTCCAGCTCGAATAGCGAAAATCATAGTCCGGGTTCTTTTGTTTCGGCAAAGTTCTAGGCGCGGCGTTCAAGGATGGTGACTTGCTGTGAGCATTAAGCATTCAATCCTGGACTGCATACCTCCAGTTGGTACCGATCGCGTTTTCATTACATGTGGACTAGAGGTTGCGCACATACAATGAGAATGCGGTCGGTGAGTGCTGTCCTAGGATCGAAGAAGTTGGCAGTAGCATCTGTCGGCGTACAGGAGCATTCCGGTGCAACATCACTTACAAATAGTTGGCCAACGCATGGGCTGCCCGTGCGAAGACGCGTTTTTTGCAGAGTTCCCCGCAGTATTTGTCGCTACCGGCATCGGTTTTATCGGCAGATGCTTCTAGCTGAAAAAATTTCAGACTGGCCGCCAGAACTGTCAGGAAACATCCCATCAAAATTCCAGTCTTCTAGCTTCTCACGTTCTCGAGTAAGTAACTTACCCGGAAGGAACTTTTCAATCCTGTACGTAGGTACCACGCTTACCCGGGGGCTGGATTTGAGCCCATTAGCATCTGCTTGGACGGATACGTAGGCACCACGCTTACCCGGGGGCTGGATTTGAGCCCATTAGCATCTGCTTGGACTGGGAACATCCGTCAAATACCACGCTTGTCCGCGGGCAGAGTTGAACTCATTAATACCCACTTAGACAGGGAACACTCCCCTAAGATTTCAGCTCCCTAGCTTCTCAGAACCCCGAGTTATGAATTTACGCGGGAGAAATTTTGAAGGGCTCGTACGCGGGTACCACGCTTACCCGGAGACTGGGTTTGAGCTCATTAGCACCTGCTTGGATGGGGAACATTACCATAAAATTTCAGCTTTCTAGCATCTCAAAACCCCGAGTTATGAATTTACGCGGGAAAAATTTTGAGGGGCTCGTGCTCGGGCACCACGCTTACCCGGGGACTAGTTTTGAGTTCATTAGTACCTACTTTGACGGGGAACATTCGCATAAAATTTCAGCTCTCTAGCTTTTGTGGTTCGCGAGTTAGCAGCCTACCCGCAAAAAACTTTGGCGGGCTCTTACGGGGGTACCACATGGGAAAGACCGCCTATTTTGGGGATAGGGGCCCATACGTGCATGCAGATTAAGTCCCCAAAGGTTCAGCCCCGTAGCTTTTGCCGGTTTCGAAATGAAAAATCGGTACAGACGCGCAGCGCACATACAGACACACACACAAACACACACACACACACAGACAACCTCTCGTCAATATGCGTTTTTCGCATTGCATTGCTGCAAAAAAAAAGCGTAAAAACCAGTACTAGTGACAAAATATAGGCAAAAAGTCAAACTCCCCTCCCTATTCAGCTTGCTTCAAACACACACACAGACAACCTCTCGTCAATATGCGTTTTTCGCATTGCATCTAAAAAACGCATACGCACACACAGACACATACACACACAGACAACCTCTCGTCAATATGCGTTTTTCGCATTGCATTGCTGCAAAAAACGCATAAAAACACACAGACAACCTCTCGTCAATATGCGTTTTTTGCATTGCATTGCTGCAAAAAACGCATAAAAAGGGATCTCGAATGCCGCATAAGTGAAATTAGAAATAAATCGCTGTAAAAGTATCGATTTGAAAGAAAGGAGGAAATATATAACAACAAAAAATCGAAGAAAATAATTATGAGTTAAGACAGAAGAGGATACATTTTTCTTGTAGCATATGTAAAATTCAAAAATCTGCTTTATTATTCGGTCGTCCTGCTATCTCTTTCTGTAAATGTGCTTTTTAAAAGCGAGCATTTGTGCGGCAAAATGCGCTGCTTCAAGATATTTACTAGAGCAGCTGTATGTCACGACGTCCGTTGTCACGCCATCGATGCAGCACTGACAACTTCTTCATTCAATTCGTTGTTATGCTTTCTGAGCCCACGCCATACCGTACAGGCGTACCATCGGGTCTCTCCATCTCACCGGTGGCCTCCCCAGTATTCGCTTGACCGTGTGCAAGTACCATTCCATTATCCGCTTCTTCCATCTGTCATCTGTCATCCTCGTCACATCATCAATTCTGCTTCAAAATACTGCATTAAAACTACCCATGTGCTTGCCTGTCTTATCTCGTTTAGTTTCAGATTTGTCGTGGCATTTTGGCGTTCTCAGTCGTCCGCCGCTAGCAAACCGCGCCCAGTAGCCGATGCGTCTCCCGAGGTGGGATATCACATATTTTCGTCATTAGCTTCAACTTGCTGACTGGGAAAATCCGGCCGGAAATGCTGCTTTTGTACTGCATTATTCATGAGAAGGTCGTCAGCCTCATTGAACTGCTGCTGCATTCTTTGCCATATCTCTCGCTGCTAAAGACGGAAATATTTGAAAAAAATTTTCGAGCAGTGAAATGGAGATATTATGATATGGTTAAAAATATAAAATTGTACTAAAAAATTGGACAAACAGCAATGGTTCGGCTCATGAAATCGTTGAAATCCCTATTTAGAATTACAGTTGAACTTCATCAGTACTGCGCTTGTAATGTTAAATTAACAAAATAAAATAAATTTGTATAAGAGAATAGATTATAATTTCAAAAGAGGGGAATTTAAAAAAAAAAAATAAAAAAAGAAGCATAGAGCACTCTGCCAACGGTGGCCACTTGCACGGTAGCTTTCTAAGACTTCCATAGAAGCAGGCTGATAGCGGTTTTGACTGTTTGGCATATGCAAACACCAGTTTACCCTCGAGACAAGTGAGTAGTTGTAGCGAAATTGGCTAAGCAACGACGAAATAGTAAATAATTTAGCGTCTTTTGCCTTCCCGTCCTAACTAATGATACCTTGCTTAACCTCTCTGCTACCATCACAAGAAATCGGAAATCCAAGTAACGGGAGCTCAGATGTCCATGGTTGCCTAATCGCTGTTATATTCATTTATTGCCTAATCGCTGTTATATTTTTTCTTTCATAAAAATACAATTTTTTTTGTGCATGTAAAAAGCTGTTCGAGCAAGTTGTGGGGGGCCCTATTTTGGTTCTTTTTGACCTGGAACTTGTCAGACTGCTGGTGAATAATTGTTGATCCGGGCATGTTAGGTAGTTTTTTTGTAATATCTTACTTGGAATTCGCTGTTTTCTCGATTTGCAGTTTTCGACGTCATTTGTCAAAAACATATTTCTTGGCAAAACAGTGTCCGATCACGTGATACCATATCCGATCGATTTGACGGATGAAAGGCGCGAGATGATCAGTTTAATTATGGGCCCAACTAAAAAATTCTTGGAGGAAATCAACGATCCTGCTAAGTTTGTTTCCCTTTTATTTTTTTGTATCGCAGAAGTCCCATATAATTTAGCCCAACAACTCGCAAAAATATTACAAATGATAGGAAGTTGGAATTTTGGAAAAGTGCTCCTTGAATCTTCCTAAAAACACCTTCAGAAGTCGAAACGATGGTCACACAGGCTGAATAGTCGGTGAAGCAAAATACATGAAAGGGAATTTTTTGTTTTGGTCAAAACTGAAATCGGGTCTTTTTTTTTCAAGTTCCTTCATATTTTGGAGCTCTTATCGAAAATTAAATAGAAGAGTTTAGAAATGACGAGCAGGAAACAATCCCAAAGGACGTTTTGTCGAAGCTTGCCGAACTGGGCGCGTTCGGTGCTCTGGTTCCTGAAGAATTTGAAGGAGCAGGGATGAATAATACGCAGATGGCCAGGTTGGCAGAAGTTGTCGGCGCTTCAGACTTATCACTAGGTGTGGTCATGGGCGCACATCAGGTTCGTCCTTAATTTTATCATTCGAATCGGACTCATCCAATGGAATTTCGCATCTTGATGGAAAAGTTGGATGGATAAATACCAAGAATGACTTGACAGTCGGTATAATCAAAGTCCCAATAACACCATCGCCATGGAGTTTTCACAGATGTTTGATGAATTTTTTCCTGAAAAAAGGCTAGGCATTTTCTGAGTGAAATTACAAGCTTACTTTTCACTAAATTGAGCGGTGATGAACAATTGTAGCAAACGAATTGCGTCTCGCAAAGGTCATGGATATTTTCACAGCTGCCGGAACATTCATTTTCACTAATTCCGAATACTTCGAGTCGTGACTTGTTAACCATTACATTACCTACCTTTGTGTTTCGTACCTACCTGCTGGAGTTTACGAATTTGCGTACATGGCGCACTCGCGCGCCTCCTATATTCTATTGTACTGACATCGCGCTAATCGAGTTTACCTTCCAATTTTTCCAGATTTGTGCTTTTACCACTCGCGGA